ACATCCGCATTTTACAAGTCAGCAAACTGAAGGTCAGAGAGGCGAATGACTTACTAAAGTCACTCAGTTGGTAAGAGGCGAAGCCCAGGACTTGAACTCCAAGCTCGAGCTCTTAACCACGAGGGCACTCCAGCTTCTCGACACTTCACAGTACTCTTCACGGAACTGTGTGTGTTTGGGGCCTTTTCCCATCCCAGTCATCCCACATACACACACAATCTTTTCCCTCGTCCTTTCAGATAAGTCAGAGACAGTGTACAAGCTTCTAACTGGGAAACACTATTTGTTTCAAAAAGAAGAAAACAACCCAGTTAAAAGTAGGCAAAAGGTCTGAACAGACACCTCACCAAAGAAGATATACAAATGGCAAGCAAGAATATGAAAAGAAGCTCAACATCCTATGTCACTGGGAATTGCAAATTAACCCAAAAATGTGATACTACCTACTAGGATGGCCAAAATCCAAAATACTGACAACACCAAATGCTGGGTGAGGATGTGAAGCAACGGGGACTCTCATCCACTGCAAAACAAAACCGCCACTTTGGAAGGCAGTTTCTTGCAAAACCAAACATACTATTATCATATGATCCTGCAATTGTACTCCTTGGTATTTATTATGCAAATGAATTAAAAAGTTATGACTACACAAGAACCGGCACAATTATGTTTATAATTGCTTTATTCATAATTGCAAAAACTTTGAAACAACCAAGATGTTCTTTGATTAATAAACAAAATGTAAGGCCAGGCACAGTGGCGCATGCCTGTAATCCTAGTGCTCTGGGAGGCTGAGGCAGGAGGATCTCTTGAGCCCAGGAGTTTGAGGTTGCTGTGAGCTTGGCTGACGCCACAGTACTCTAGCCTGGGCAACAGAGCGAGACTCTGTCTCAAAAAAAAAAAAAATGTGGTACCATATGTCCACACAATGAAATATAATTCAACAATAAAAATGAGCTGGCAAGTCATGAAAAGACACGGAGGAACCTTAAATGCATATTGCTGAGAGAAGGAAGCTGGTCTGAAATGGCTACGTACTGTATGGTTCCAACTATGTACATGACATTCTGGAAGAGGCAAAACGACACACACAGTAAAAACATCAGGGACTTGAAGGGAGAGAGGGACCAATGAACAGATGGAGCACAGGGGGTTTTGAGGGCAGGGAAACTACTATTCTCCATGATACTGTACTGGTGGACACGTATCCTTATACATTTGCTGAAAACCACAGACGGTACAACGCCAAGAGTGAACCTTAATGCAAACTATGAATTTTAATTAATAACATATCAGCATTGGCACATCTATTGTAACAAACATGCCACACCAATGCAAGCTGTTAATAATGGAAAATTGGGGGAGGTAAGGAGATATATGGGAACTCTCTGTACTTTCCACTAAATTTTTTCTGTAAACCTAAAACTGCTCCAAAAACGAAAAAAAAAAAAAAAATGTAAAGTGCTACCAAATGCAATGAAAAAAATTTTCATCTTTGAATTTTCTTCTCTACAGAAAAAAACAATACCACCCCCATCTTCATCAATGGGAACGAATCTTGCCGTACCACGGACACTATGTTTGTGTGAGGTGTCATACCCTTCGGCAGGCTTTTGTGTCAGTTCACCATAGGATCCCATCGTCGCTGTTTGCTAAAGGAGGAATGCGCGTACTGTTCATGCCTTTATTCCCCTAACGTCCACTCCGTCCCCACCACGTGGCCCTCCCTGGGGACACAGCTTAGTGCAGAAGACTGAAAGGCCAACAAATACTGGCCCCCGATTCTTTTTCTTCGGCGCAGGTATCACAATTTGAATCTGTGTATTTATTTCTCTGTTTATTTGTTAATCTCGGGAAGGTCCTTGGGGAGAAGGGTCACCTCTATTTTGCTGGCTCTGAATAGTCTGCGCGTGTTGCACAGTGCACGGGATGAATCCCGAATGAGTCAGACAGTGGAGCTAATAAACGCTGGGACTCTACAAAGAACAGCGGGAGCAAAAAGAAGACGTGGCAGAGATCTCGCTCTGCGGTCATCCCAGGGGGCTTCGAAGAGGAGAGTCTGGTGGCGGGCTTAAAGGGAAAAGGAGGGACTTGGTAGGCAGAAGGCAGGCACTGCAGGAAAAGAACTGTCCTCCCAGAAGTGCCAGAAAGGAAAAGGCCTCAGAGGCCATCTCTCTACTCCAAATTTTAGAACTGGAAACTAACTCAGAGAACTGTGCTTGTTAGACAGGAAGGAAACTGGCCTGGGCAGGTCAGTTGCTGCCTGGAGGTCACAGCTCCTGCCCACCAACTTTGGGCAGAGCTAGGAGACAGGGACACACACACACACACACATGCACACACACGCACGCACGCACGCACACACACGACACACACACACACACGCACACACACCCCAGTGACAGACACGCGCACACACGCACACACACGACACACACACACACACGCACACACACCCCAGCCTGGCCCGGGAGCTGTGGCAACAGCAAAGCCCACCTGATTCCCAAGCTTTCACTAAAGTAAGGCTAAGGAGAGCGGAAATGATCACAGACTGCCCCCGTCTCTGCTATAAACATCCCTGGACATCCAGGGACCGGGAGTGTGGCCAGAAATCGCCAACCCAAAGTCAAAATGTCTCTAAGGTCAAATTTCCACATTCCATCCCACTACATATTAATTATTTTTAAATTAAAATAATACTTTTTTCCCACCCCTAGCGATACTCTCCCAGAAATGTCTTCCAGAAAAATTAATGCTCAGGATTGTACAAACTCTAGTTTCCTGTGATCACAGTAGCGGTAGCCAATGCTTATATAACACCTTACCTACAGTGTCACTTGTGCAGTCCCCACCACGATGCTGCAGGATGTTGCCAGCACCCCCACTGTACAGATGTGCCCCAGCACACTGCAGGGGCGGCCCCGCCCCGCAAACAGAAGCACGAGGGTGATTTAGCTCTTCCACTTAAACACTTTTTCTGCAGTCTCGATGCCATAGAGAACACGAGGCGTGAGTCTGGAATCAGACTCCACAGCTGACCACCTGTATGATTTGGGCCTGGTCAAATTTCCCCACTCCCTGTTTCCTCCTCTGTATCACTACAACAGAGGAACTGTGATAGCAGTGTGAAAATTCCAAACACAGTATCTGGCACACAGTAGGCCCTTGAAGGGAAAAAATAAAACAAACCAAAATCTGTATTTTAAACCAAACTGGTCTCTGAACTCCTGGAGAACTTTGCCACACCAGAAGGGAGAAACAGGAAAGTTCCAAAAGAAAAAGCGACCCAGAGGACTGCAGGCTCTGCTGATGAATGAAGCCTGGGCCTGGGCTGTCGGCCAAGGCCGCCTGGGCCAAACCATAGGGCAGGAAACCGCACGCTTCCTCCTCCTGCAAGAACTCAGAGAGGAGCTTCCTCAGCTGACCCCACCCGCTTCCCAGAGAACGCTCCAGAACATTCCATGCTAGGCCAGGAGATACCAAGAGCAGGCCACTGGGGGGCCCCTCCCATCTCCACCCAGCCCAGACAGGAAAAAGAGGCCCCTCCCTTTCCAGGCCTCCACGCACAACCTCTGACCTGCACCCCTGTCCAGCACCCACTGCCTCCCCACAAAGAGACTAAGGCACGGCTCATCCACCTCATACCTGCCTCCCTCCAACTTCTTCTCTAGGCTGCCCACAGAAGCCAGCAGGAGATGGTCTGGGTAGCGGGGTTGGTCGTCCTTGGCTACGGTTCTAGTTTGGCCTCTTGTACTCTCTTTACTGATGCTACTGATCATCTGCCCCCAGTCCTAGTACCCATCACAAATAAATGGGACTCTACAAGGACAGTCAACAACCACTCCCTTCCTCAAGCACCTTCAGTGGCTCCCACTACCTTCTGAATTCAGTCCAGAGTCCACACCCTGAGACTGATGGTCCTCCACAATATATTAAATAGTTCAAACCCACCCTGCATTCCCTACAGGACTCATCCGTTGCTACCACAATGGATTACACCCACATTTCTGGGCCTGTAAGTCCAGACTCACAGTCCTCTCTCTACCTAGCTCGGTCCTATTCCTCACCCACCCCACCCGACTCTTTCATGAGCCCTTCCTTTTCTCATCCCTAAACTCCTCTAGCACACTCTTCCCAAACCTCAGGCACTCGCAGGCCACCTGCCATTTCCACACAGCTCCCGCACTATTCTTTACTTAATATTTTCCTTTGAATCAACTCACTCTTTTACTTAATCAAATTAATTTTCAAAGGAACCTGTATAGCTCCACCATAGACAGAAAACCATACCATTTACCATAAATAGAGGACAACTGAAAAACAAAAACAAAGTTATTTTCTAATACACATGAAAATAGACTGTTATTAAAATATTTAAATGCTCATCTGTACACCACATAAAATCCTCTCACACTCTAAGAGACACTGCCTTGACACTGTATTTTTGCCTCCTTTGTGGCCCTTGGGCTCTTCTGGTCCTGTCTCACAGTTATCTGGGGACTTGTCCAGGCTGACCCCAAATGTGAGTACCTGGGGGGCACAGATCCTGCAGTCCCTGTTCCAGTCCTACACACAGCATGACATGCAATAAAAATATTTATCACACAGAATGTTCCAATTTGCTCAGATATATGGCCCCCAAGGCCCATCTGCTGCTCGAATTTCTACCAAAACACATGACCCCTCTGCCCAGCACCCCCAAATCCATCTCTGTCCACTGGGGTGTTTCAAATGATGGTGCCGAAGGAACATAGCAACTGTCTGAGGTGGCACCAGGAGGCCCTTGGCCCTTCTCCAATCCCTGCTGCCTCTTCCTCAAAGCAGCAGGACCTGGGGCAGCCTGGAAAAGCAAGTTTCCAGTCAATGATTAACCAAACACTCTCCCAGGACAGACACAAACCCTTTCCCGGAAGTTAGTGAAGTTCTAGGAAAATCTCTGCCTGAACTGGGCCCCTGGCATCTTCCCTGTCTTTGGAGCCACAAGACCCAGAAACACCTACCGGGAACCAAGGGGCTTCGACCTGGACAAGGCCCTGCCGGAGCCCCGCACAAGAGGAGGAAGTCACTCTCCCTCCCACTGGGTGACCCGAGGTGCTCCAGATGACATACATCTGAATCACCCAGACTTAAGTCAATAAGTGGCAGCCACAGGGCAGGCCCAGCTGGAGCCAAAGCAAGGCCTGGATTCTCCTCTGTGGATGGAAGCCCGGCCACGGCCACCCCGCGTCCAGTCTGCTTGTGACCAAGGCCCCTGGAGACGCAGTCTTCTAAGACAGAACAGAGGCAGGGCATTTCCTATCAGAGGGAGGCCCTCTTTGGGAATGTTTGCATTCTTTTTGGTGTTATTTGTTTAGTTTGGCCGCTTTTATAAATTTCAAGGATTTTTTTGTTAGAGCACATTTTTCTGGAAAGGTATCCAAAATATTCATTACGGGCAGTGGTGACGCACAGGGCGTCAGCATCTCATAACTTCCTGAAGTTCCAGCCACGGGTGTGGCTCCTCAGGAAGAAGGTAAACTGAGGCATAAATAACTTGATGGACGCTGTAAACGGAACTGCCTCCAAAAGTACCTCAAGGAGAACAAAGGTAATGAAACGAGTCCTTGAATAGCCAGGGAGCACTTACATCCTGACATCCGCCTACAGACGGAAGGAAGGTGACATAGATCTCCTTGTTGACCTTTTCACAGTGCAAACAAGCTAATGACGGAAAAAACTGCTTTGGTGATTTAAAATAAATAAATCAATCAATCCCACCATTATTAGCAACCTCCCCCAGGAGAAATGGTGTCCGAGAGAGAGACGGATATAATCACTCAGAGGTTCTCAAACCGGGTTCCAAGGAGCCCCGGGGATGTCAGGGGCCTCTTCAAGACTGCAGGGGTAGAAGTAGGGGGCTGGGAACAAGGCGGGGGTATTCCAACTCAACCCAAACAACGTGGCTTTTGTCTTCACATATCAGGCTTCTGGGTAAGATTTCATTTGAAGAAAAGATTACACATTAAAAATGTTGCGATGGGTTGATATGTGCTGCTGGTCAGATCGAAGGGGAGGATGTGACGAAGTCGTCTCCGAGTTTGCGGGAGGCGGGGCCACGTACCCAGGTGTGCTAGGAACCAGCTGGTCCTTCATCCTGCTTGTGTGCTCTGCGTTCAGTAGCAGCGTGGAACAGCCTCCTTTGCGAGGGTCCAGCCTGGCCACTTTGCCCTCTTCCTGGCAGGGCTACAGGCCAGATAGACCAAGTTCAGAAACTGCAAGTGACACCAAATTGAGCCAAGCCTTGAGCCAAGTCAAGCATCCAGAAAGAGAGACATGAACCCAGCAGGGATGGGGGCCCAGTGTAGACACCAGAGCTTGGAAAAGCCAGCTCTAGGATGCACCAAACAGGAAGATGTGAAGAGGCCTGAGTGTTCACACTGTGCACAACCAAGAGCTACGGGAACACTGCAACTCTGCCTCCTGAGTCCAGGCAGCTGTGCACTCACAGACGGGGGCGGAAATCCCACCAGCTTTAGTAAAGCAAAGGCCAGGGCCCCTGCTGGCCTTTTGGAATGGACACACATCTTGTCTACCAGCACTCCTTTCCTTGGGAATGATTCTTCCTTCCAAACAAAGTAATCACACCCAGTCCTCGGGACAAGAGAAACCAGCCCCTTTTTCCTCTTCCTCGTGGGTGAACGTGATTAGGGCTGACCAACTAGAATATCCCCAGCCCCTGAGTGACTGGCTCGGGGCAGCGCATGGGACCCAGGCCCAGACATACAGAGTCCTCGCTGGGCTCTTGCCACAGTTGCTGGGAAATATACCCAACATCTGTGACAACAAGCTGTGTGAACAATATTGGCTTGTGATGGCCAATGGCCATTCTGCTCCACTTAGAAACAGCCTGTTTGCAAATGCAGCTCAGTAACGCTGAGAGTCAATAATCCCAATGGCATCATCGATGGCTGAACCCAGCCAAGCCTGAACCACTGTTTCGATCCCCAAATTGTCAGGCCCACAGATTCCCCTATTTGCTTAAGCTAGTTTGAATCGTGTCCTTGTCATCTGCTATCAAGAGCCCTGAGTAAGCCACTTGCCCAGAATTGGAAAGGAGTGAGAATGCACCACACATGCTAAATTCGTTGGGCCTGATGCCTTAACAGACACAGCCTAAGTTCTGGCGGTACGCCTTCTGCCCCTGTTCCTGCCCACCCCTTTGGAGGCCTGTGCCAGCCCCAGTCTGGCCCAGAGACCCCCACGGCGGCAGCTGCTTTCCTTTAAAGCACCCAGTGTTCATTCCGAGGCCGACTTCGGTTCCTTTGCGGTAGCTGTGTGGCCCAAAGGGAGCCTCTCCACCGCAGGCATCTTCTGTGGCCCCCGTTTGGTGTGGCAGCCTCTGCTGTCTGCCACCACGTGGGACCTGCTCCCGCAGTGTTCACCCACTTGTTCCCAGGTCCTCCCAGACCCTGGCCGGTCTCCCAGGTTCCACATTCAGGCTTTGTCATCCAGCTCTGATCCCTCAGGTTTGCTGATCTCCCAGACTAGTGCAACCAGAAAGAACATGGGAAGGAAGCCTCACGTGCTGACACGAGAACCTTCAGCTTTAACGCGAGGGGACTGTGCACCCATTAGCATCCGCCAATCCAGCATCAGCCTGTGATCCAGGGGCCTCGAGCAACAGGGCTCTATCCCTGTGACATCACCTCACTCTCTGGTCAGAGCTCACCAGATGGGTATGAACATGAAAGCAGGTACCAAACTGCTTCATAAATCCACAGGTAAGATTTGCAAGGAGGAGGCAACAAAAGATAAACTGAATGACGCATACATGAAACAGAGTAATTTGGTAATGAAACAGGAAATAAAAAGTCCCTAGCTAAGTGACAGAAAACACTTTAAAAAGCTCAAGAGGAAGGAAATGAGGGAAATAAATCTATAACTGCAAAATAAAAGCATGAAAAGAAGCTATGCTCAAGACAAAATGTTCCAATGTGATAAATACATATTTTATTTTAATAGAAACATGTTGGCAGCGGTGCACCGTGAACTGGCTACACAAAGCCTCGCTGGAGCGTGGTCCCCAAGGGCCAACAGGGACAGGACAGGCAGGATATAAACTGAGTCAGGGAGCAAAAGCTGAGCATTCTCCCTGGGCCTACCTGGTTCTGCCAGCTCTTCTCTATGCTGCCCCTGCAGGCCTGAGGCCCCTCTCGCCCCCTCCCTGCTCCACTGAAATCTGTCTCTCCCTCAAGCACACAATGGGCCTCTGGGCAGCTGGCTCGGCCCTGCCTTTCCTGGTGTAGCTGCTCCTCCCTGCCGCTGCCCTCAGAGCACTCCAAATGAACAGGCTCTTCTCCCCTCTAGTTCCACCTCTGCCTTCGCTCCTGCGACCCCTAAGGCCCCAGATGCCCCTCACTCTACCCCATCTTGGAGGACCCAGCTTGCCTCTTCCTTCTGGAAAGAGCCTCTCCCTCTCCAAAGTCCCTTTCCTTCAGCACTGAGCATTTGCCACCTTATGTTGTATTTATTTATGTCTTTATCTTCTACTGGGCAAAGTCTGCATCTGCTTCATCTTTGTACCCTCTTTTATTCTTTCACTCATTCAGTCCAAAAATGTTAATTGAGCACCTACTATGGGCCAGGCCCCATGACAGGACTGAGGATACAACAATGGACAAGACAGACACTGTCCCTGCCATTTTGGAAAAAGAAACACTGAACGAACATATATAAATATGTCAGGACAAGCTGTGATAAAGGCTATGACAGAAAGAGTCTGGCGTGGTGGTGTGCACCTGCAGTCCCAGTTACTCAGGAGGCTGAGGCAGGAGGATCGCTTGAGCCCAGGAGTTTGAGGTAGCAGTGAATTATGATCTCGCCATTACACTCCAGCCTGGGTAACAGAGCAAGACCCTATCTCTAAAAAAAAAGAAAAGGGAAAAAAAATGAGAAAGGTTTGGGGTGATATAATATACGAGCATCGATGCAGATGGAAAAGTCGGGGAAGGTGTCTCTGAGAAAGTGACATAAAAATGGGACCAGAGGGTGAGTATAGTGAGTCAGGCATACCTTTTAGGTACATAATAGGTGTTTGCTAAACACTTGTGGAACAAATGAATGAGTAATGGGTCAGAAAACCCTAGTGTGGAACCCCGTGTCCCTCCAGACACAACTTCTCCACCTCTCATCACCCTGATGGGTCATTCCAACTGGCACCTAGAGGAGTTCTACAGCCAACACACTTCTTATGGACAACAGGATGTATCCACCTGCGTCATCCTTGCAGAGGTGCTTGCCAGGACTTAAGGTGACTCTCCACTCAGGATCCCCTTACGACTTCCCTGATACTGCCATCATCCATCTCTGCCCACCCCCACTGCAAGAACAAGCAGGTTTTGTCTCGCATGCAGACTCCAAACCACTGGCAATGGCTGCCTGGAACACCACACTTAGAAGGCCTGTCAGGCTGCCTCTGGGCTTAGTGGGAAAGCACTGTGATTGATTAGTGATGTCTGCCACTGGAGCAGGAACAGAGAGCAGCAGCACCTGGGCTATGTATTCTCCTTGTCACTCAGGGTCCCACAAGTGACCACCTAGGCAAGAAATTTCCTTCAGATCTAATGGCCTGGAGAGCGTTCAGCGCCTGGGATCCTTTTCCTTATGGGCCACGTGAACCATTTCACTAATATTTTTTTCCCTGCCTTGACTGCTCATTAGCTCAGAGCTAAATGTGTGCTTCAAATACAGTAAACTGTGTATAGCTGTAGGGCCTGAATATGGAGTCCAATTCTACCCCTGGTTTTAACCTTCTAGTTAATCTATATTTTTCCTAATCTTATTTTTATGAGCTTCTATTTAATTACATGTACACACACACGTATATATACATACATATATAATATACATATAGTTCTGATATATAACACCTACTTTATCTTTTTATTATAAATTTATTATATTTTTATTATATTTCTTATATAAAAGATACATGGAAAGATATATATTCTTATAGGTATCCTCAATTCCTTTATGGAACAAGATAAAGCAATAAATGGAGAGATGGATGGA